TGTGGGACACTCCTGTAGGACGCTCTTGCTCTTGTGGGACACTCTTGTGGGACACTCTTGTAGGAAACTCTTCTGGGACACTCTTGCGGGACACTCTTAAGGGACACTCTTGTGGGACACTCTTGTACGAAACTCTTGTGGGATACTCTTGTAGGACACTCTTGTGGGACACTCTTGTAGGATACTCTTGTGGGACGCTCTTGTAGGGCACTCTTCGTACGAGACTTCCTCCGAAAGTCACACGTCAAGTCTCCAAAACGAGCGTTTCGTACGAGACTTCCTCCAAAAGTCAGATGTCAAGTCTCCAAAACGAACGTTTCGTACGAGACTTCCTCCAAAAGTCACGTGTCAAGTCTCCAAAACGAGCGTTTCGTACGAGACTTCCTCCAAAACTCACATGTCAAAGTCTGCAAAATAAGCATTTCGTACGAGACTGCCTCCAACAGTCAAGCGGAAACACCCATCGGAGCACACACACACATCACGCAGCCCTGCCAAGCAGTTTCGCAAGTCCAGCCCCTCCAAACAACACCCGTTCACACGCCAATCCCACTGTGACAGCGAATTCACCTCTACCACAACTCACGACCTCACAATTCCCCAATTCCCTGCGCCTGCCACGAATCTTTCCGCATCCACACGTCTAACGCGCGCAAAGTACTGCGCCTGCCACGAAATGTCACCTCCGTCACACCTCGCAACCTCACCATTCCCTGCCCTGCGCCTGCCACGAGAATCGCACTTCCACGCCTCAAAACCCACACAAAGTACTGCGCCTACCACGAAAAGTGACAATATCATCTCATGTCAGCTTCAACAAATTTTGCACCACACCACACCTTTGGAATGATTTCGACCCGTTCTGAGCACACTCCCATCCACCAAAATCGCCGTTTCAGCTGAGACTGGTCACGAAAACAGAGCTTCGATGCCACACCCTGAAACGCAAATCCTTTCCGACTAAGGGGATAGATTTTATAGTGATGTCTGTTGTTCCAGGCCTCAGATTTTATAAGGATCTGGGTGTCCCGAAGCTGGGGGGCGCCGCTTTATACTATAGAACTGGGCCACCCGGGAGACATGAATTTCAAAGGGGATACTGGGGCATTGTTTGGCGTCCTTATCTATCACCCTGGCATTTGCTCATTTGAGCCGGGGCGTGCCCGCATCCGCCTCACGTGCCTTCCATCTACTAGCAATCGCCTCGAACCTATATAATAGCTTCCAACCTATAAAAAATGCCCCCCAACCCACTAGCAATGGCCTCCTCCCGCCGCTTCCATGTGGTAGGGCTCGTGCCATTCGACAGCGAGCACGGAGGTGGCGTCCTCACTTATTGCACGACCTGCAAGAACCCAGTCCTCCGCTCGTGGTCATGCGGGATGACCTCCTGTTCCCCGCCAGAAGCTGCCCTCGACCGACGCTCGGACACCTTCTGCACGGCGCCGCCGCCAGCAGCTGTTCCCGCTGTGAGGTCCCGCCCTCGCCGGCCCTGGCCCTGCGCGTCCAGTGGAGACGGAAGCGGTTGCCGTTACCTACAGTGGGCGCCATGTTCGTTGCGAGTTTCCGCCTGCGATGCTGGGGACCACCTCCGGACTGGCAGACAAACTTGTTCCAATAGTCTCGAACGTTCGATCGAGAGGCAGTTGCAACTAGTTGCATCTGTGCCCTCAGAGTCAAACTCTAAGGGAACATGTTTCTTTAGATATCTATCAGACTTATGTCATGTGCAGTACGTGTGAACACTCTAGTGCAACTGTATGCATATACGTGCATCATACATGTGTATGCACAGGTGTATTTACATGGTAACTCCCCTGCCATCCCCAAAAGCGAAAACACGGTAAACTCGGCAAAAATAGACGCCTTGTAGATGTGCAGCACATTCATCCATTGATCTCTTTAATCCACATTCGAGAAGGGAAGGGCTCGTGGCGCAGACGGGCTCAGTTCTGAGGGCTACAAACCAGCAGTTGGACGCTGCCCTGGCAAAGCAGGAGGTGCTAGAGGAGGTGAATTGGTCAAATCGAGTTAAGCCGTTTGGTTGCTGCTAAGCCGGTCTTTTTCAGCACCATATATAGATTGCATCCGATCAGATAGGCCTAATTCAGGCAACCGAAAATAGAGTTTTGGAGGTCACGATCCAGCCTAGATTTGATAGAGGGCTAGATTTGACACGACCTTCAGTTCAATGTGCAGCGCTCAGACCTTGTCATGTGTTTGAGTTCGTGCTTTGGCTAGCACTAGTGTTGGTAGGAGCTACGGCGTGTTGCTGATGCCTCGGCAATCCCCAGTCTGGGGCCCAGTTTGGGCTCTTGTTTTGGTAGGTAGGTAGGTTGGTTGGTTCCTTGGTTCGTTGGTTCGTTCGTTCGTCCGTTGGTCCGTTCCTTTGTTCGTCCGTTCGTCCGTTCATCCATTCGTCCATGCATCCACCATCATCCACCCATCCATCCATGCATTCATTCAGTCATTCCTTCCTTCCTTCATTCATTCATTCGTTCGTTCGTTCGTTGTGATCAATTCTTGGAAAGGCTTGATTCAGGGAGATGCACTGCGAATGCTGGAAAGGCTGAGGCAAGAAGGGGTGAGATGAATTTTTTTGGAGGCACAAGGAAGCGGGTGGGAGACTCTTTCGTGGATTTCTCCAAAGCATGCGACTCAACATCAACAGTCCGAGTTGTGACATTCTTGCGGCGGCACTAGTTGCGACACCGCAGGAAAGAACAGCGCCTGGAAGCGGCAGCACTCTGGGAGGTGAGGTGCCAAAAGCTGAAGCGAGAGAGCGAGGGAGTATGGCCGAGTAAGGAACATCTCTTAGAGCCTTCAGATCTGCGGCAAACCTTCTTAATTTAAACGCATTACATCGGAAGTTCTGTGTGGTGTGCGGCATCTCAGACAGCTCCCACTGCATGACAGACATGTTTGTGCCACAAATGATGTGCCAGCGCGATATTATAACACCTAGTGGATCAATTCATCCTGAAAGGCTGACTGAAACTGAAGGGCACTGGCCCGCCATGACCCGTCGCCCAATTCTATCGAGGCCATTGGTGAGTTAGCGGAGCACATCGGCGCTGATGGGGCCAGCTTCATCAAGGTGGTCAGGGGTTGTGGTCTTGGATCTATTTTTGGACAAAAGGGTGATGGGCCAGCTCCATCAAACTTGCCACCAATTGGAGTGCCGTGAGCCACCCATGACAGGTTGCTCAGAATGAGGCAGGGGCAGCCGCAAGAACCAACAAGGATGAGGTTGTTGTCAGGACTCCTGTTGATGTGTTTTGAGGTCCTCCCAGATTTGCTACTAAGCTTGGAAGCATGTTGCGGATCTATTCAGAGTGATGCCAGATGATGCCAGTCAAGGCAGTCGCATACCGGGCATAGAGTAAGTGCACGCAACAGCAGCTTTCTTGACACACCCTTTTTTTGAGTTGGGAAGACTTTGGCTCTCAGACAGGCGGGACGGTCCAGCCAGCTGCAAGCATCGCATGGTGAGCAGGTGCCCTTTCATCCATCGCCTCCATATATATGTATATATTTATATAAAATTAAAACATTGGTGGTGGAACAAACATGTGTAACCTCTGTGTTGACTGTGATGACTGCGATGTTTTTGGGAGCCACTTTGACAGATGACATGTCCTGCAGCCATGCAGGGAGCTTTTGGGATGCATCAAGCTCAAGGCAGACCCGCTACAGCCAAATGAGAAGCTGGCAGTTGGATGGGCTGCTATGCATCTTTGCTGAAAGGATGCATTGAAGTGTCCACTGCCCGAGAGGAAATACAACCGGAGGTGACACACCCTTGCTCTACAAAAGCATGCATTTGCCATGGCACCCGCTTGCTTTGCATTTTGCAACTCTACAGACTCGTCCGCTTGTTGAGTCAACAGAGGTCAGCCCTCAATGACACCACCTTCGGGTTCCAACCTCAGGAATCATGCGGGTGGCTTGGACAAATTGGGGCGTTACATTGCGTTACATCGCTCAGGTGGTATTGAGTAGCCCTACAGTTTTGTGCTGAAACTTACTGTTTCCCCTTCCACTTCCGAGGTCATTTTATGTTATATATATACAGTTATATACACGCACGATGCGCAGGTTGCCGTATACAGATCCATGAGCCAATCCTAATGTCAGAACGATTGCGGTGCCACCGGGCAGGCCTCGCCAATGTGAGCGAGCGAAGATCACCCACCATGTTCTTGCCACCGAACGAAAATGCGCGCTTGTGTTCGGCGATGCCGGAGGGAAGGTCAAGAGATGTCAAGAGACTAGAAGGCCATTCCAAAAAGTTTCTGTGGAAACTAGAAGGTACGATATAAGGCTTAGAAAAGCCTTAGCCTTCCTCTTGGACAGTGCTTTTGCAAAAAACACTGTCAAACCAAAGTCCTGCAGCTCGCAAGGACGAGCTTCCAACCCGAGTCTCGGCCTCGGTGCTGTCAAGCTGCTTGCAATCACCAGCTCCTCATGCTGCCAATCCTTTTTTGCTAAGGCATTACAATATTTTGTTGTACAGCAGATCTTGGAACTGTGTTATCACATGCAGAAAGGCTGGCTGCACTATGTGCTTTGGATCAAGCTCCTGCACACCGAACCACAGGAGGGAGTAGAAACCCTGACTCCTTCTTTTTGTGCACTCGGGGCAGCTGCAGAACTCAGTGGTTTCATATTTTTTTTTATCATCAGTGGATGCATGGGAATGTTTGTTGCGGCTGTTTTGCAAGCATACTATATACATAGGGATATTAACTATGTAAGATTTCAGGAGCAGCAAGCTTGCAAATAGGATCATACTATGAACGAGATCATATCGTAAAGCACTATCATCAAAGGAATGGGCCCTGCACTACATATTGCGTTTTCACTCAGCCATGGCAGCCACGTGCTGGTGGCCTTTGAGTTTGCTTGCTGCCTGCTCAATTGTGAACTGGTGGCTCCTACCTTTGGTGGCAGCGTGCCCCGACTGTCCTGAGAACGTGCAGCTTTTGCAGCAGAGCCTGCGGCTGAAAAAGGCGAGCAGGGCAGAGCAGGGTTGACACATAACCTTTTGAAAACGGCTCCGAGGGTCAAAAGATCCGCAGGAATCCGAAGACCAACTTTGGATCTGTTTATTCCGCAGGAATCCGAGCATCAATCACCGTTTAACCTTGGAGGCACCAATCTCCTCAACCTTGCCATCTTTTTTGAAGCATTGCACGGGATGGGCCACTCGCTGGTTCAAAACTGAGTGAGGACTTACCTTTGGCCCACTCTAAGCGGAAGCTGGACGACTCAGGCGCCATTTGACAGTTCAAAATCATTATATAAGATTCCACTTCTTGGCTTTTGGAGGCATTTTGACTCACCAAGGACTGTCTACAGCAATATGTCAGAAGTCGTGACGACGCCTTCACCTGGAGACAAGCCAACCACAGTCTTCAAGGGGGCGACTGGACGGGAACGGTGCTGGAGATGACTAGCCAACGGTGGCTGCCCCAGCTGGTGTCACCAGACGTTTGGAAGCTTGGCCTGGTGCATAGTAATATAGTGCCATACGAGTTATTGCAAGGGTACCTTTGTTACCCAGGGCTTCAGCCAAAGCCACACATGAGTGCGCCACACATGTGGCGTGAAATCCATCACAGCGAAGGAACCACACCTTGGTTGTCATTACGCCGCAGAACGTCTCCAAAGACCTCTGTTTGCTCTACATCGCCTTGGGCTATTTCGGCTCTCCATTGGTGCCTTCGTCGCATGTGGCCAGCTCCAACGAGGACGTCCAGGCGGCGGCCAAGATGGCGCTAGCTGCCGGCACCCACGCGGCAGTGCTTTTCAACGTCCCTGCTGAGTACTTGACACCACCACAACTGGACTTTCCTCATCCTTTGGTGGAGGAGCTCAGAGCGGTCATAGCCGGGTATATAAGTTGAGGGGCAGCGAAGTCCATTAAACGAAGTCGACAATTTAAGTTTCCCCAACCATCTAGGAACCAAATCATTAGCGTGAGCTATGCTGCGTCCGTCCGTGTGTAGTAGCCTCCTAGTAGCTAGTAGCGAACTTCTCCCTAACTTAATTATAACTAAGATTATAAGTAGGTGCTTACTTAATAAATTAGTAGTAGGGCATAATCATAGCGGAACAAAACATGGTCCTTGTTGGTACAAGTCCTGGGGCCCTTTGTGCTTCTTTTCGCAGGATTCTTTTCTCGCTAGCTTGGTGTCGAATGCCGAGTCCGTTTGTTTCCGAAAAGCTGCAGAGCAGTTTCAACTCGAGGTTTATATTTTTCACCGCTGTTGTACATACACATGTTCCTACCCGTGCATATTTGGCTCAAGCAAAAAGGTGCCTGTTCTAGGCTATTACCTGTTTGAAATAGGTTATCAGCCGTAGGTCTCTTTTCTGTCTCACCTCGCCGTCCCGCGCGCGTCCTACCATGGCAGGCATTGGATATCCGCCGATCATAGATTTGGCGTCGGATCAGGACAACATGTCCGCGCGTGAGGGAACGCCTGAGTTCGCAAGTTCCACTGCACTTGTTCCAGAGGGTTATGGTTATTTGGACACGCCTATTGGGCCTGACATTCTCCAGTACAACCCTCCCACAGCAAGTGCCAGCGGGAACGCTGTGCCGGCCAATACTCTTAGTCAGACAAACATATTGAACCAGCACTTGCATGTTCAGCAAGCCCCAACCACCGATACACGGTTGATTGAGGCAGTTGCCGAAGAAAGACACCGGCACGCCATGGACATTCAGGGTGAACAACTCCAGATGGTGAGTACTCAGCGTGACGAAATGCGAGTACAGGGTTTAAGGTTTATTATGTAAAAGAAGCTACTCCACTTTGACATGACATGTACAGGACATCGCACTTGAGGCCTTCGTGGTTCAAAACAGCTCGCATGGTAGCGGAGCTGAGAAGGCTGACGCTCGTCAGCTGGAGCTCCGGGGAAGTTTTAACCCAGGTGTGAGGTCGCCCGCGCCGAGCCACCCATCCAACTAGTGTTGCATTTTCGCTCGCAATCATAGCCTGTGATTACCTGAAGGGGATCTTCGAGCGAGTGTCCTTTGGAGGTGGAGAGAGGGGCGAAGGACCTGGGCAGAAGGAAGAGCTTGGCACTACAAGGAAGAAAAGATGGACCAGACCGACATGCCCGTGCTAGCTCAAGCTGTCATAGCGGCTGCTAATGCAGCAGCCCAGGCGGCTCAGGCAGCGGCTTCAAGTGGAGGAACAGCTGGTCAGGGTGCAGAAGGAGCAGGGGGAAGCCAAGGAGTGTTGAAGCGTGATCTAGCAAAGTTGATCCCACGACCTGGTGCCTTTAATCCCACAGACAGAGAGCAAGAGGTTTTGCAGTGGCGAGATTGGTACTGGACAGTCAAACAATATTTGGTTGTGGTTGATGCAGCATTTCAAGATGAGTTGGAGAAGCTAGAGACCAACCTGACAACCGAGATAGACTGGGAGTTGCTAGATGAGGAGGAACAGCAGAGAAGTCGATTTCTGTACAGCTTGTTGGGGAGCTTGGTACAAGGACGACTGACAGGTGTCATCAAGAATGTCGAGAAGTTCAATGGAATGGAAGCACTTCGACAACTGTTGATGAACTGTCAACCCCAGGCGAGAAACAGGACGATGAACCTCCTGCAAGGGATAATGTCCTACCCGAGCTTCAACATGAAGAGCTCCTTGTTGCCTCAAATCCTCAAGTTAGAGGAACACTATGTCCAGTATGAGCGCCTTGGAGGAAAGCTATCACCTGACATGAAGTCAGCGGTGTTGCTCAGAGCGGTGTCGGGTCAGATGAAGACTCATTTGAATCTGACTTTGAATGAGGGCAGCTCATATGGCAAAATCAGGGAAGCAATCATTGCCTTTGACACGGCCACCACCAAGTGGAATGAGTCGGGAGCCCTTACGTTTTCAGGAATGAGCCCAATGACGAATACAACAGATCCCAATGGTCCAATGCCTATGGAGATTGACCGCATCAAGGGTGACGGCAAGAAAGGAAAGGGAAAGACCAAAGATGGTAAAGGCAAATCGAAGGGCAAAGAAGACCGACAGAAGGGAAAAGGCAAAGGTGGCAAGCCTAGTGGAAAAGAAGGCAAGGGTAAAGGAGGTGGCAAGGAGAACAAAGGTGGCAAAGGCAAAGCTACCAATGAAGTGTGTTGGACTTGCGGCAAACCCGGACACATGTCACGTGACTGTTGGAGGATCAGACAAGTTGAAGCACCAGCAGTCCAGAGCATCGCAGGTTCTCACACTACTTCGCCCTCTACGACATTGACATCGAGCACCTCGAGTGGAGGAGACGGAGACGCCAATGTGGGTGCCAAGAGTATCAGACGTGTTTCACAGCCAGTGATCTTCGACTTGAGAGAAGGGAGTGAAGCTGGTTCAATTCGAGTGGTGAGCCAAGTTGAATTTTTCAACATTGCCTCAGAGGATGAAGAGGAGGATGGATGCTACCAAGTCAACACCATTGCTGAGACCGAGCATGAGGAGGAGGCCGAGGAGGCCTATGTGGCAGAAGAGGAGCAACAGACCTTGAAGGTGATTGTTGACTCGGGGGCGGATGCCTCGATCTTCCCAGGAAGACTCATGGGAATGACAAGGAGTGATCAGGTGTTGGGACAAGCCCTTCATCTGCAAGACGCCCAAGGGAAGAAGATCCAGAGTTATGGCAACAAAGATGTGGATATCTTGATGATGACATCTGAGGGCCAATCTGTGGTCTTGAAGGAGAGAGTGACCTTCAGCGACATGGTGAGCCAGCCCATCTTGTCTTTTGGACGCTTGATGAGAAGCGGGTGGTCCATCGATGGCCAAAGGCAGTGTTTGAGGAATGGAAGCCTGGAGGTGCCTTTAGCGTTTCAGAATCAAAGCCTAGTGGTGGATGCTGCCATCAGGGTGATCACAGAACCCCTGGTGATTCGAACGCTGGCAGTCAGGCTGAATGAGGAGTTGACCAACATGGCTGGAAGCGGCTATGGCTGGAAGAAGAAAGATGAGTTTTGGGTTGGACTTCACTTGAGCACAAGGTTTCAAAGCCCACAGTTCATTCCGGGCTTTCGAGATCAAGGAGAAGGGATGTGTCGAACTACCCTGGTGGAGAAGCAGGGCAGTTGAGAGTTGGTAGAAATGGCCGAACCATTAGACGGCCTAGAGGAGCAAGAAGAGGAAGTAGAAGAACTTCGAGAGGTGGGTCTTAGCAAGGTGATGACCTTTGTGGCTCAGGAAGGAACAGTTCCAGAGATGTTCGGTTTTGAGATTGACAATGCAGTCCAAATGGGTCCTGGACCAGCAGTTGAAGAGCTCGCAATTCCACAAGCTCAAGATGAGGAGATGGAAGAATTCGATGGTGCAGACATTCCAGGTGGAGATGACGAGCCCAACCCTGGTCGTGACCTACAAGAACAGATGGTGCACTATGAGATCGGTGTTGCACTTCCAGAGGAGATTCGAGTGAACGAGGTCCCACTGACAGTCGACAGCCCCCTGAGGAACCTGAGAGCTGCTTGTGCTTTCTACAGGATCGGACAGAGTGGAGGCAAGAGAAAATGCTTCAGTCGGCTAGTGGCTCATCAAGGTGCACTCGAGTTGATGATGGCCAAGGACTTAGCTGCGCGAGGACAAGCAATGGGGCAGAGGATTCCAGTGGAGCAGGTGACAGCAAAAGTCCCAACAGAAGCAGAGAGGAAAGCCCATGAGCTTACTCATGTCCCTTACGCTCCATGGTGTCCTGCCTGCATCAGGCATCGAGCTCGTCCTGATCAACACAGGAGGACGGGGAAGTCTCATGACCAAGGAGTTCCAACAATCTCCTTCGACTTTTGCAAGGTGAAAGCCAAGGGTTCAGGAGCGATTGGAACGGAAGAAGAGGATGCTGCTCAGGAAGGTGTGCAAGATGATGAGAGTGGAGCGCTGCTGATGGTTGCGGTATGCTCAGAAACAGGCTCACTATTGGGTTTGCCTTTGAAGACAAAGAACCAGATGAACCTCATCACCCACGAGCTGCTTGCATTCACTCAGATTCTCGGCCATGAGGCTGTGCAGTACTACTGCGACAATGAACCTACTGCGAGGCAGATTGTTCGACTCTTGGTGGCTTCGAGAACAGCCATGGGTTTGAAAACTACAATGAGAACAACAAAGCTTTATGACTCAGCAGGCAATTCTTTGGCTGAGAATGCAGTTCAGCGAGTACGAGGTCTTGCAGCTTCGATGATGGAGAGTCTGGCGGAGAAGATCGGCTTGAGATTTCAGCACCAACATCCACTGTGGTCTTGGGCGTGCCGCCATGCTGCTTGGACCCTGAATCGATATCAGGTGCTGAGAGGGACAACGAGCTTTGAGTTGACTCATGGAAAAGCCTATGATGGCAAGATGTGCCCTTTCGGAGAAGTGGTGTTCGCCTACACGAAACAAAAGCAGGGCTTCAAAGCGGACCCAAAGTGGAAGGTAGGCATTTGCTTGGGAAAGACAGAGGTCCAGGATGCATGGGTCATCGGAGATGGAAACAGAGTCTTCCTCAGCAAGTCCATTCGCAGAGTTGCAGACGCCAGTACCAGGTACATAGCTTGCTACCAGGGCTTCACGGCATACTCATGGGAGTACCAGCAGAATTTTGGTGGAAGAATCGTCCCATCAAAGAGAGTTGCAACGATGGTTGGAGGACCACTGCTGGGATTGCCGACACCTGGAGCAGGAAGAGAAGCTCTGCAGGATGAGGATGCTAAAGAGGTAATAGCCTTCTCGAAGTCCTATGCGGGAAAGTTGGAGGAGGCAAAGGACTTGGTCGAAGTGGTTGAGAAAGAGAAGGTTCAGGTCCAGGAGATGAGTGAGGAGCAGAAGATTGTGGAGAACAAGAAGCTGGACTACGTAGAAGAGAG